CCCCCCCCCACTCCCCGGGGCAGCGGCCACCAGCCTGAGTTCTTAGATGGTCTCACCGTGCCAAGCCGGGGAATGCTCCCACCCAGGTCCAGGACACAGTCCCTGTGCCAGCCCTGCTCAGGGGCAGTGGCCACCAGCCTGGGTCCTGGCTGGCCTCTCCGTGCCTTGAGGGACCTCTGCCCGCCCCACGGGGGCTAGGTCCCACACTGGGACAAGTGGCTTTCAATGCCAGTCTGTCCTTCCCTCCAGACCTGAGAACTGGCCAAGGGTCCGACCCCTCCCTGGCCCTGGGGTCTCCAGGGGGCTCTCTGCAGACAGAGGCAACTCTGGGGAACCTGGGCTCTGGGATGAGGGCGCCCTGGAACAGCACCCCTGCCTGTGCCCCCAGCCCACTCCCTCTCGTGGGGACCCCAGGACGTGGCAGTGGCCCTCAGCTTCCCCTCGCTTTGAGGTCCAGGCACCGGCCCTCAGGGTCCCGCCTCCCCCACCCATTTGTTTGCAGAGGGAGCTGAAGGGGCTGAGCACCAGGACGGACCAGGGGGCCAGCTGTCCGAGGCATTATTGGCTCAAAGGAGCACCAAGGAGACACAGGAGCTGGACACTGGGGACAGGGGCCCAAGGACGCCAGAACTAGCCTGAGAGGGGACAAGGGCCCTGGATACTATACCTCAGCTGGGGGACAGAGGGGGATAGGGACACCAGGACTACCTGAGGCTCAGAAAGAAGACAGACCCAAGCATGGGTCCAAGCACCCCATCAGGGAAGGACAGCACAGTGGCATTCACCCCCCTGGAGTAGGCTGGGCTTCCCCCGGGTCCCCCGCCACCTCCAACACTGCCAGGGAGACCGGAGATCAAAATAAAAGTTTCCATAGAGCAGAGCTTATGATGGAAATGGGGAGCCTGGGCCCCTCACCCTTCACCTGGATTGTCCCCCCACCCCCACCCCACCCAGTACTCACCTCGGAGGCTGCGAGGGGTGGGGCCCTCGAACCAGGGCAGCAGCAGCAGGAACAGCAGGTAGACCAGTGAGAGGGCATTGACGCGGGCCAAGCAGGCTGCCAGAGAGAAGGGCACATCACACAGCCGTCCACCGGCTCATCCCACCATCCAGCAACCCACCCCACAGCCAGCGGCCCCACCCCTGCTCTCAGGGCCCGTTCCCACACATGAGGACCTGCCGGGCTCAGCCAAACCATGGATCCCCAACAGGAGCTGTGAGCCTCAAGGGGCCTGTCAGTCCAGGCCCTGTCACCAGGGCACTGGGCTCCGTTTGGCCCTCCCTTGTGCCTGAGGGCCATCTACTGTCCCTGTGCTCGGCCTTACGCCACACAATCCTCGTCACCTTGGACAGCCTGGCCCCCTTCCCACCTCTGCACGGGTGAGCCCGGGGCCCCAGAGGGACAGGCTTCCCAGAGGGTGTCCCTTCCTGCCTCTGCCCCTTCTGACAGACCCTGGACAGACAGGCCTGCTAGGTGATGCGGCTCTGGGGCCCAGGCGCGTCAGGCCCCCCTCCCCGTGCAGAGTGGGCACCCCGGGGCCTTTCTTCTGAGGCGCAGCACAGGCAGTGAGTCACCGGGAAGCACTTGCAGGCTGAGGGCTCGCTCGCGCATGTGCACAGGCTGACAGCTATGCCCGATGCGCACCCTCTCCCACGGCCTAAGAACCCTGGCAGCACTGCCAACTGCAGGCCAGGGTTCAAGCCCGGCAGCCACTCCTGGGGAGGACGCCGGCGTCTGTTCTGGACTGCCGTGGGAGCTGTGAGGGGAGGGCAGTCTATGAAGGACCCACGCAGGCCACAGGGGCAGGGCTGCGCAAAGGCCCAGGGACTGGCTGCTCAACCACAACCCTTCGGTCTGTGAAAATGCAGCCCTTGGGGGGGCCACACGTGGCGGCCTGCCTGGTGGACAGGGGCCCAGGAGGGTCAGCAGCCAGCCCCCCCCCCCCTCCCAAGAAGTGCAGCCTGCTGGAGCAGAGAGAAAGAAGCACACACACAACCTGCCGGCCGGAGGAGCAGCCCCACCCCTGGGCCACCACCCTGAATTCCCGACAGCAGCCGCAGCAATCCGCCCAATCGTGAAGTTTTCAGCAATTACCCATTTTCATAAAAAAGCAAGAGCGAAATCAATCTGCTCTGTCCCGAGAGGCAGGAGGGAGAGGCACTCGTGTGGCACAACCTTCCCTGGTCCCTCTTGTCCCCAGAGCTGCACATGGGCCCACAGCTCTGCAGCCCTCTCCCTGCAGGGCCCCTTCTCCAGCCAGTGGCACCCGCCGCCCACCCATGCTGTGGCTGGCTGCTGTCACCCCGATTCGGACTCACAGTGGCCTTGTCCAACTGCCACTCGGGCATTCCCAGGCTGCAGATCCTTACGGGAGGTGCCTTTCCTGAAGCACCGGTCTCCCCCAGAGTAGCTGGTGGGCTCAGTCTGTGCCACCCGGGTCCCTTCCTGCACCCATCTGCCCACCCCAGTCTGCAGTTCTGTGGGGCCCTTGCCTTGGGGCCAGGGGTGAAGAGGTGGACAGGCCCGGGACCTCTGCTGGATCGGGTGCTGTGGCAGCCCCTGACTTCTTGGAGCGGAACACTGCAGTGGGAAGGGGGCCATCGGAGAAGCAGGACCCCCAAGCTCAGCCCTCTCCACTCCACTGAGCCACAGGCTGGGCCCGATCCTGCAGACAGCTACTAAGGCCCTAAGTTCTCCCCAAGCCTGGCTGGTAGCCCCCCTCTCCCCCAGCCACTAGCTCCTCTGGCACCAGCCTCCCAGCCTCTGGGGGCCCCTGATGCTCTCCCTTTACGCAGGACCCCTCCCCCATCTGGCCAAGGCCCCACCCAGTTGCCCAGGAAGATCTAGAATCCTCCTGCCCCACACACACCCGCTCTGCTCCCAACAAGCCAAATTAGGTAGCAGTTATGTGAGGACACCCAGCCAGGCCGACCCCCACTCCTGACTCTTCTCTGTGGACACCGGCCTGTTCCCCTGACCCTAGAGCCCCACGTCTGCAGCCCGGTGGCATGCGAGGGGGGCGGCGGGGGGCGGGGTTGGACAGGGTGCTGACACACAGGCATCTCCCCCAGCCTCCCTGAGGTCCCATAAACAGACCCCAGGCCTACAGGAATTGTGGGGGCAGGGCTGGCCAGAGCCTGCCCTCCAGGTAGTCCCAGGACCCCCCACCCCATCCCCACCCTACCGTGGAGACTTGACCAGCCCAGCAGCCCCCTCCAGGATACAGGCAAGGGCACAGCAGAGCCCGGGAGGGGGCCAGGCTGGTGGCACTGGGCGGTCTTGGACTGGGGTTATAGCAGTGTCAGTCTGTCAGGCCCACTTCCCAGCCTGGGCGGAGGGAAGACTCCCAGTTCTGTCTGCCAGTCAGGAAGTTGGAGTGGAGCAGAAGGGAGTGGGATCAGAGAGGAGGGTGTGGGGAGCTCTGGACACACCCCTCTGGGTCCCCAACATGGTGGCCAAAAAACCTGGAAGCCCCCCACCACCACCACCAGTATTTCCACAGAGCCTCCCCTGAGGTGAGGTTACTGCCCCCACCCCAAGTGCATTCCCTCACCTACACACCTACATCCTCTGCCCCAGGGACACAGCTCAGGCCAGTGAAAAGGGCCCGGGCCCGCCCACCCTATACCTGGGCAGGTGGAGCTACCTAGGCAAGGGGAGACTGCCCACCAAGGCTTGCTGGTTTGAAGGCGGTGGGTTTGGGGCATTCTTAAGGAATTCTGGTGGTGCCACATGGTTGGCCATTGGTCTGCTAACCTCAAGCTCGGTGGTTCGAACCCACCAGCTGCTCAGGTCAAGACGGACAGTCTTGGACACCCTTCGGGGCAGTCCTGCTCTGCCCAGGAGGGTCCTAGGAGTCAGGACTGGATAGTCCATGGCAGAGGGCCTCTGGGAGAAGGAAGTGGAGGCTCAGAGGCTGTGGCTGACCCACCCCCACCTCCACCGATCACCAGGGCGGGCAGGGAGCTCTGGCCCACAGATGGACAGGTGCCAATGCCCGAGAGGCCGTCCTCCCACACCCCCCTCCCCACAACCTTAGTTTCCTCCCCTGCTAGGTAGGACCCTAACTGGCCATCTCATGGCCTGCTGGCTACCCTATTACCCCTGACTCAAGCTGAGCACCTTGAAAGCCTGGCTCTTCTGCCCAGCAGCATGGGGCAGGGGGTACTCTTGGGAGGCTGGGTGGGGCAGGGGGCAGTCACCAGCTGGGGGCAGGCCTAGGGCAGGGTGCCACCAGGCGCAGGTTCAGCCTTATTTGGCTGGAGAAAAACTGTAAACACTCCCTGCGGCACTTCCCAGAGAGGGCTGGGTGGAGACGGGGAGGGAGGTGGGGGTGGCAGGCAGCACCCGCTCTCTCCCTCTCTTCAGCTGGAGCCACCATGGCGATGTCTTATCACCCCAAAGGGCTCCAGAGGCCACTGCAGCCCCCCTCCCGCCAGCCCAGCCAGAGGCAGGGAGGGAACAAGACCTAACCCAAGCCTAAGATTCAGCCGAGGGAGCGCACGGGAGTGGGCCCACCTCCTTTGGAGGCTGAGTTTGTGAGCCTGGATGGTGTGGGGAGCCCCCACCCCAGAGTCCCACAGGACGGTGTGGTGTGTAGACAGCCTGACAGCTGGGAGTCCTGGGTGCAGGACCTGGGAGAGCATGCTGGGGGGGTGGATGGGGAGGGGCAGGCAACACCAGGGCCACCCCCATCCCCAAGGCCCTGACCCAGCCCAGAGCCAAGCAGATCACCTACCAGTGTGACCTTGATTTGATTCACTAATTGCAGGGCCCAGGGGTCTCTCCTGGCTCCAGCTGCCCCTCCCCCTGTGAACACAGGGCTGATCTCTCACTAACCCTAACCCTAACCACCCCATGGCCCCATGGCCCCACTTTGGGCTTCCCCAAGCAGCGGCCCCTGCCCATCCTAGTGCCCGGTGGGCAGGCGGAAAGCTGGAGAAGGCCACTCCCTGTGGGGGGGACAGTGTGGACTCGGCAGTGGCTTCACAGTTCACAAAGCCCCCAGGCCAAGCACTAACTGACAGGTGGTCTGTGGACCCAGCGGGTGCCCAGGATGGACGGAGGGCCAGAAGCAGGGTCCCACTCCTCCAGCAAGGCTGCCCGGGACCCCCTGGCCGTGTGCTCCAGGGGACTCACTGACACACACGTATGCACACTCTGGTTCACACATTCACACTCTCACTCTCCCGCACACACACACTGATTCACACACACCCTCACGTGCACACGATCTCACACATGCACGCCCATGTGGCTGCTGCAGCCCCGGGAGGGAGTCCTTTGTTACCCGATGGGGGCCCGGCCAGGTTCAAGGAGTTCGGTGCTGTGAGATGGGACTGTCCCCTCCCCCTCTCCACTGTCCCTGAGCATAGCAACCTGCCCCCCACTCAGCCCGTGGCCCTCTGAGCAGGGCGGGCGGGTCCTCGGGGCAGGCGAGGGAGGACCTGTGGGTGGGCTGGTGATATCCCTGAGCAGGGGCCACGGTCACCGGGAGAGGAAGGCTGAGCTGAACCGACTGCACAGCTCCGCTGGGACAAGCCCCAGGCCCAGGCTGTGCAGGCCGCCCAACTGCCTCGCTCTGCCCAGCGGTCATGTCATTTATAGGGAGGAGACCGGGCTGAGGGGGAGTTGGTCCCTCGGCGCTGCTGGCAGGAGAGGACAGGGGCCAGGGGCAGGGCCTATAGTAGAAGGCAAGTAGGAGGCAGGTGTCTGGGACAGGGTCATGGGCAGGGATAATGGCAGAGGTCGCCCCAGGCTCAGCCCCAGCTAGGGAGGCTCCTCAGCCAGTAGTGAATGTCACTCAGTGTCCCCGCCTCACAGGGCCATGTGGGAGCCCCACCTGGAGGGGTCAGAACACACCATGGCTT